GTGTCATAATCTACTCTGAATATCCACGTAAAAAAATAAATGATTAAAAATTTAGCACATTTTTATCTCCTTAAAAAGGCATATTAAATGGATTTTGTGAAATATCAGAAATTTAAAAGAAATAAATCCATTTCTATTCATAGGCATTATCTTAAAACTCGTTTTTAGGCGGTACTCAAATGATTTAAGCTTTAACGAGATATGCAATACTTGACGTTTGAAATAACTTTTATTAGTTACAGAAATGCTGCAAATACTTAGGGACAAAAATCAACCAGTTCTGTTATAAATTGTGCTAAACAGACGTTTCATTAATGATATCATGCTTTCCCTTTAAACAGATAGACATAAATTAACACAGCATTCGAAAATAAACTAAAATATTAATTACTAAGATTTACATACATTGTTTTAAAAGTCATTTTACACTGACGCAGATTTGAATAAAATTCTCGAGATTTCCCTTCCCTCCCCCCTCAAAATAAAGTGAAGCAAACCTTTTGCGAAAGTTACTTTATAAGGTATTTCTCCCGCCTTCTTAGCATGCCTTCGTAGTGTAGCGGTCAGTACGCTGGGCGCGTATTCCAGAGGTCCGCGGTTCGATTCCCGGCGAAGGCTTTCCCCACTAATTCTTACGCTGGTATATTTCTCTTTCAGATACATGCCTTTTGTTAACGCCTTTAAATCACCCGATTTATTAAGCAATGCACTCTTTTAATCTGATGTTAAAGAAAGGAAAAAGGACTCGAGAAAGATCGATAACAATACATTTGAGAAACAGTCATTTGCTAGGCTACGCGGTTAATAAATGCCTTGGTAGCATAATGAAAAGGTGATTAAAAATGGGAACGCTAAGCCATAAATGATTTTAATGACAGAAAATGACTGAAAAATCTAGTATATGATTTATTATACATAAGTCCAGCACATAATCCAGTTCAAAATATGTATTTGGCAGAGAATAGCGCATTTTGAGATGTATGACAGCTATGAACAATTTTGTAACAAGTATAGAAAAGAAAAGGAAAATTAATACGTAATTCACATGAAGGTCAAAGAATATAAAAATTTTACAGCTATCACGCAATATGCAATCATTGCTTGTAAGAATAGTTCATTTTTAAATCTCCTTCACACAAGAGGTGGGCATTCTGCCATAATTTTTTTTTTTTTTTTTTTAAGTAAAGAAATTATCGATCAAATTTAAAGATATTTTCTCTCGTTAGAAAATCCAAACCGATATTCATACTTCGAGAATTTCTACAGAATTTATAATTTATTCTATGAAATTGTTCAGGAATTCCATTTTAACAGAAGTATGGAATACCTAGCACTTGGAAACTGCAGTTTAAAAATATGAAATCTAAATCTCCTTCTCAAAATGTTGCATTTTCTTTGTGTGCCTTAATACTGAGTGCTGAAAGTATTCTAGTTTTCCCTGTTTTAATTCAAACGAATCATGTAATTTTGGAAAGAGTGTTGGCATCTGCAGACTTGAAGATTTTAAGTAGGATTTTGACTTCTGTCTTTCTTGAATCTGGCAAAGAAAACTGATTTAATTATGATTTTTTAATACTTTACCTAATTTTGATTATATTTTTTTAACGAGTATTAATCCAAACTATTTGAAAAAGTTTTAATTCAAAAACCAAGGTCGAATCAATAGCTAATTTAAAGTAAAAATGATATTAAGTAAGTAAAATGTTTTCTTTCACTAGAATAATTTCTGAATTCAATATTAAAATCTTGAAGAGCAATTTAAATACTGTAACTCCACTTTACAAAATTCTCCGCTTAATAAAACCCTCTTGAAACACGGAGGTAGGAATAACTCATCTCTCTCTCTTTTACCTCCATATTTTGAATCATTCCAAGGATTGGCGTGCTCTCGATATTTGAGTGGAATTTAATTTTAAAATTTGGCAAATTTTAAATCTAGATTTACCCCCCCCCCCAAAAAGAAAATATTAAAGGAATATTAGAACTGCATCTATTTCATCGTTAAGGAGCAAATTATTGTGCTGCTTCTTTATATACTTTCTCACCTATTTTTTTCTTTAAGACGAACCAAGCACTTTTAAATTCATTTATGTGATCAGAAAATTATATGTTCAAAAAACTAATGTAAATAAAAACATTTTAGGTCATATTGAACAAATATGTAAAAAAAATTGCAATTTGAGAAGTTAGGAAAAAAAATACTTAAAAAAAAAAAAAAAAAAAAAAAATCTGAAATGTTTCAGATTTTAAATTACGTCCAAAGGGGCGTTTTTTAACATTTTGTGTGTTACCTTTCTTTATTAAATATCATGTTCCTCGCACTTAAACCATAAGATCCAGTGCAACAGCAATATCGCAAAATAGTTTTAAAACGAGCATATCTTTAGAATTTCCGATACAGAGACTCACGCGCTGGAGATAAAAATGTTTTTTCTGCACAACGTTGCCATTGCTCGCTTTGAAATCCTTGAGTTTGTTAATCAAAAATTCGTCAAAGTTTTTAAAAAATGGAAATCGATCATAAAACAAATTTCAAATTTCAAATTTGGTCTTCCACATGCTCATATTCGTTGGAGGATTACGTTATTCAAAATTCGATGACTCTATGTACCGTTGTTTTATCACAATACGAGAAATATACATACATTTATGCAGATTTTTCATTATTTAATTTCTTCAAATATAATGCAGGACTCTAACATTTTGTGGCAACAGTTTGAAAAGTGAACCGACATTTATGAGTCCGACGCAAAATGCCAAAACTAAACTAAATAGTCCTTCGGAATTCAAATCCCTTTGGTAAAAAAAAAAAAAAAAAAAAAAAAAAATCTGAAATGTTTCAGATTTTAAATTACGTCCAAAGGGGCGTTTTTTTAACATTTTGTGTGTTACCTTTCTTTATTAAATATCATGTTCCTCGCACTTAAACCATAAGATCCAGTGCAACAGCAATATCGCAAAATATTTTTAAAACGAGCATATCTTTAGAATTTCCGATACAGAGACTCACGCGCTGGAGATAAAAATGTTTTTTGTGCACAACGTTGCCATTGCTCGCTTTGAAATCCTTGAGTTTGTTAATCAAAAATTCGTCAAAGTTTTTAAAAATAGGAAATCGATCATAAAACAAATTTCAAATTTCAAATTTGGTCTTCCACATGCTCATATTCGTTGGAGGATTACGTTATTCAAAATTCGATGACTCTATGTACCGTTGTTTTATCACAATACGAGAAATATACATACATTTATGCAGATTTTTCATTATTTAATTTCTTCAAATATAATGCAGGACTCTAACATTTTGTGGCAACAGTTTGAAAAGTGAACCGACATTTATGAGTCCGACGCAAAATGCCAAAACTAAACTAATAGTCCTTCGGGATTCAAATCCCTTTGGTAAAAAAAAAAAAAAAAAAAAAAAAAAAAAAATCTGAAATGTTTCAGATTTTAAATTACGTCCAAAGGGGCGTTTTTTAACATTTTGTGTGTTACCTTTCTTTATTAAATATCATGTTCCTCGCACTTAAACCATAAGATCCAGTGCAACAGCAATATCGCAAAATAGTTTTAAAACGAGCATATCTTTAGAATTTCCGATACAGAGACTCACGCGCTGGAGATAAAAATGTTTTTTCTGCACAACGTTGCCATTGCTCGCTTTGAAATCCTTGAGTTTGTTAATCAAAAATTCGTCAAAGTTTTAAAAAATAGGAAATCGATCATAAAACAAATTTCAAATTTGATCTTCCACATGCTCATATTCGTTGGAGGATTACGTTATTCAAAATTCGATGACTATATGTACCGTTATTTTATCACAATACGAGAAATATACATACATTTATGCAGATTTTTCATTATTTAATTTCTTCAAATATAATGCAGGACTCTAACATTTTGTGGCAAGCAGTTTGAAAAGTGAACCGACATTTATGAGTCCGACGCAAAATGCCAAAACGAAACTAATAGTCCTTCGGGATTCAAATCCCTTTGGACTAAAAAAGAGTTCACTGTTAAACGTTTTAAAAAACTGAAATATCTAAAAAATTTTTAATATAAATAATAATCCAATATTACATTTTTACCATTAAATACAATATCTACCATAGCCAATTCCTCAAACTAAATCTTTATTTTTTAATAATATTCAAAACTCAACTCAAAAGGAGTTTCGAGTACAAAAGCTCCTGTTCTTGTTCCTGCATTTCATTTTTTAACTTAAAAAGCTAAGAATAAAAAAGTGTTAATATATATATATATATATTACTGTCAAAACAAATAAACAATCAAAACTGTCTACGCAGGCTTGCGGTATATACTTTAGTGTAAAGTTTTATCATAGCTATTAACTTTTATCCTTGTTGCAGAAATTAAAATGCTTAGTAGGATGAACCTAAAATTTTGGAAGTTGACAGGATTTAAAATTAGGCAGAAAAGCAACCTTAAATCGGATCAAAATTAGATTAGAGCAAGCTTTCTTTTTTCTACTGAAGAAGGATCCTATGCCTGATCGCCTTTGAAAATCGACAGAGTTTTATTAAAAATCTACCCTAGTCTAAGGTTGCTTTTTTACTCAATTTAAATTCTACATTAGCGTGTTTCCCTTTCAGTTAGACAATTTTAAATTGTTGTGTTTTAATTATGATACTATTTTGAATTACTATAAAATACTGTACAGAATACAAGGTAGAATGACTTCCAAAATGATTAACTTATCTACACATTTCTGTAATATCGAAGATCATATTCATCGCGGATTCGGGATAATGTCCTTTTTATGGTGGACTCAACTTTATCGGAATTGAAGATAATAACCCCCCCCTTCGAGGTGTAAACAAGTCAATAAAATAAATCAAAAATGAAATGAAACATTTTAGCCATGGATGCAGAATGTGTTTTAAACATATTAGAAAATGGTGAAACTAATGGCCAGAAAAAGCTGGTGCGAAAGAAAGAATTTCCTAACATGCAAGAGAAAATATGCAATCTTGATTTACCTGAGCGGTTTGTACTTCTCGGACGGGACATCTCTGTAATCAATAATCCATAACCTTTGAGACGAAGACACAAAACACTACAAACACAACCACCATCAACAGCTGGATTCAAGCAATACATTCACAGAGCACAGAGAGAGTCACGCGCGCATCCTTCGACGTCCCTCACCCGTATTCCGACTGATCTCTTCTCCCATTCCTGGATGAGTATGGGATTGGGATGTTCGAAGGGATAGAGAAGACGGGGGTTGCCGACGCACGCACTCGTTCGCGCCAAGAGATCATCGCCAAGCGCCCGTGGCAGTCGCAGGTGTTGCGTGTGGATGCGAAGGGGAAAGTGAAAATATGGGGGAAAGCGGAGACAGACGCGGGAGTTTTGAAGTTTCCGATTCTGGAGGGGGACGTGCCAGACAATTGGTGAAGAATGTACGGTTTACTTTCGGCTCTACAACCCGTCCTCTTCGGCGACGACGAGCAGCTTCTTGTCGCTAAACCACTTAATCGCGCCCAAATATGTATCTCAGTGATTCGCTTTTCTATACGCACATCATTTTATCTTTTATCCGAAAAAATAGCCTGTTTGAAGTCCTTATTATTCCACTTCAAAGGGTGTTTCAAATAAAAATATGCCCCTATCAAATGGCAGAACAAAGCATTGCTTGTGCACGTGTAATATGGACGTATGGACGTACGTACTGCATTGTGGTACGGGCAACAATACTACCAAAAACAAAACAAACAAACAAATAAAAATAAACAGAGCGCTGTTAGGATTATCAACACAAATCATTCGTTACAGTTCAACTTAGATGTTCTTTATTTGGAACACCTTATACTATCAATGTTTCTGAGGCAAATTGAAGGTTATAGAATTTAATTCAGAAAAATGAATGGTACAAAACGCAGAAGTACTAGACTTCTGACTTCAAATAATTTTGCCCTTCGGTTATGCCAGGAGATGTTCATCACTGATACTCATTTATGTTCTAAATAATCCTGACTCTCAGATTGGTCGCAGTGAGAAGGTTACCTATATTTATTCGTATTTTCAGAGCTTGATTACGAACAAGAGTGCTAAGCACAGCTTTTTTCAGGGCCCCCTCCATCTCAAAGTTCCACTTTTCTTACGTTATGAGGGAAAAGGAAAATTACGAGAAATTATAAGAAAGAATTTTAGTCCTTTAAAAATCCGAAGCACTAGGCTTGCACTTTAACGATCTATTTGGTGACTGGGTCCTAGGTACAGTGTATTATTTATATTTTTTTAACTTTTAGAAGACAAGGCAGCCTATTAAAAACATTATTAACTTACTCTTGAGACTCAGTTAATAAAAATAGTACAATATATCATCGATATACAGAGTCTCCCATTTGTTTTCGATCAATTATGCTTTTCAATTCTAGTAACAAATATAAATTACTAAATATTAGCGAAATGAATTTATTTTTCTTTCAAATATACTATTGATAATGTTCTTTAAAACCTGCTTGTTTTAAAGAAAGTTACTCAAAACATTTTTTAGTCAAACAAAAATAGTTTACTGAAAACATTCGGAAAACGAACTCATAAGTATTCTTCAGACTTGGACACTTTTTAACCAAAATTACACTTTTCATGCGCTTTGATGTGGATTCGGATTCAACTAATTTTTTCGCGTAAGAATGTTCCATTTTGTTTATTTCATTCTTGCATAAGAATTGCTTTTAGTAAAGCTTTAGAAGAAATATAATGCTCCCTTATTCTTTTCTCCAATTCATTCCATACGTGTTCGATAGGATTCAAATCCAAAGATTATGGAGGAATTCTAATAACTTCAAGATATAGTTGTACAATAACCACAAACAAATATATATCGAATCATTACCCTGAGAGAACTTAACTGTATTTTGCATTTTAAGCTTTCTCGCAGCACTTTAAAAGTATTTATATGTTTATACTGATTCATGTTATTTTATATAAATATTAAATTTCCGATCCGGTGAAACATCACCAAACCATTATGCCTCTACTTTAGTGCTTGTGTTTAACAGTAGGCAGCAGGTTTCTCGGATTCAGTTCTTGATTCGTATACTTCAATTATGCTTAAAACTGGCCACAGTAATTGTCTGTCGGAATCAAAAACATTTAAAATGTTTACTTTTTTTTTACAAATATAGCGTTATTCTAATATGCGCACGCCAGGTATATTTTCCTTGCTTTTTTGCTGACAACGAATTTCTCTTCTTGCTGATCGCCCATTGTTCCTAATGGCTCTTCTAAGAACTTCAGTATTTACTTTAATTGCAAATGCTTCTTCTAAATCCGTTGAAAGTTTTATTGAACTAATTTTTGGATCTCGTGTGATTTTTCGTAGAATAAATCTTCAGTTCTTTGGTGGTAACATAGAATACTGTCTAGACTTAAGGGTGAAAGTTTCACACAATTGCCATCGTTTCATTATATAAAAGATAGTTACTTGCATTCCTTTAACAGGTATTCTTTGGATGTTTCAAATACTTTTAATATTTAAAAAGAAAAAGAATAATTAAATTTCTAACAGAATTTTCGCGAAGTTTTAGTGCCTTGCTATGTTTCACTTCAGAGATTGAATTGCTAATGTTAAAACAACAATTTTCAAACGCAAACGATAATTCTTGTAGTCTCATTTAAAACAAAATAATATGGCTAACAACGTGTTCTACCGAAACATCTGAACAAAAGTTTAGATTGTCTGAATTATTAGTATGTGAGTTACTGGTTAACACTTTTTGAACAAATTATTTTATTAGAAAGAATATTTTGGTGATATTTATTTTGCAACAAACTAAACATAATAAAAACAAAAGTAATACATTAGAAAAACGAATTCTATGTTTCAATAATTAGTACAAGTTCTGTGCAATTAAATTTCAGAAACACAAATGTCCGATACAAATTTAAGCCATTGTATTTTTAAAGCAAACTAAAGCTTTCACATTTTATTCAAGAACACAGATAATGCAAAATATAGCGAGACTTCCTAACGATGACCAACATGGTTTCATAGGTGTTTGGTCTTGTGTGGCTGTGGTCATCTTAGAGAAGTGATAGTCAGTACAGACAACAGACATTTGTTTATAGCCTCAAAAATATTGGTTCCTTTCAATGATAGTCGTCTTCGCGAGTAATTACCATGAGAAATTTCATTGCATACATGGTATAACTTTAACTAACCCACCTTGGGCATTATGCAAAATGAAATGGAAAATGTAATGCACTACTTTTCTTATAATTCAGTAAAACTTTAACTTGAATTTTGTGTCAGACACATGGAAAATTTTCACATATTTTTTATACACTTTATATATATATGTGCGTGGGCTACAACCTTCTTTTAACATCCCAAAATAGCAACGACCACAACAGTTAGATAGTTCCGCAAGCTGTGTGAAAGAACTCTTTTCTTCGCGTGAAGAATTCAGACGATTCCGCTTTTGAGACAAGAGATGAGAAGCAAGTATGATAGAGTTTGAAGTGTGAAAACGAAAGAACTCTTAATATTATGATAATCTGTTGTTATGACACCAATGAAGTGATTAATTTTTTCTTATTTTCTTTTCATTTTTATGTGTTATTTTCATATTGGTTGTGTTCGCGTATTTTCGTCATTAAAAAAATCATGAAATACCATTACCATTCCCGCCACTAGTAGGACTGAGTTTAATCACATCTTACATACACAAATATTTTTATACATAAACCTCACTGAAAACAGAACTTCTGCATACTGAGCAAAAAAGAGGAAAACTTGCTGGTATTTTCCTGCTGGAGATACTGAGGAACATTATAGCAAAAATGCAAGGATGGGTGTAAATTTGTATAATAATATGTACTATTTTACTAACAATGAATACATAAAATTCATTGTGTTATTTGCTAATTAACTAATGGATTGCTGTCACAGCTTCTTCTAAAGCATAGGATAAAATGACCAATCTTAGGATCTTAAACATAATCGTATAAGGATTAACGAAATTCCTTTTTTTATAGTTGTTACAATAGATAGTGTTTTATTAAACAGAAAAATGATTAACATTGAAAATATCTATTCAAAATTTCAAAAATTCATTGTATATAAAAAAATTAAAATCAAATTTAAAGTGTTCTCCATCCATTTCATGTGTACCTTTCAAAACTGATTACTAAATTTCCAAATTAAATTTAAGCTTCTGAACTAAATCTCTGCGCATTTTAAAATTATTGTGCATAGTCTACCCTTCGAGAAGACTGTATAAATACTGAACACTTTAAAATTTGATTTTAAAAAATAAAATTACAACCAGCTTCCGATAAACCGGAGATAGATTAAGCGTGCTTTGTTCAGAAAAAAAAAAAATTATTTACTGCGGAACGATAAAGTAATTACTATCATAAATACTATAATAAAACAAAATTATTTCGGAAAATACATAAAGGGAAATTAAAATGCATCAAATAACAGCAGTAGAAGTAGATGCTATAACAGTGTTTGGGAATTATTTTTATGTACAAGAACACGAAATTTAATTTAAATGACCTTGCTCAAATTCTATTGCGAGTAAATACTTTTTAGTGCTATTTATCATTTAGTTTTTCATTTTCTAAAGAAGTTCGTTCTCCCATTATTTATAGTTTTATTTTTCCTTTCAAATACCGATTTAATACACATTATCGAATTAACTTATTCTTCAGACAGCTTGAATGTACAGATAAATTGTTAGCAGTATTTTTCTGTTAATTATAATATGGATTATTTCAGTTCCTAGGGTCGTTTTTACTTGTCCTCGGATTAATCATGATTTTGAGTTCAATGTGCATGTTTCCTACTGCATAATTCCGTAAATAGAGAATTGACAAAATTTAAAGAATAAATTAAAATGAAAGCTTTGGAAGTGTAATAATAAATTAGCAACTATTTCAACCTATAGAAGACAACATTTTTATGACATAATGCTCAAATTTGCGTACAATATAAACGAGCTGTTCTCAATCTTTTTTGACTCATGCACTCCTTTCACCATTCCTTAAAAATATCTCGCCCTCTTTTCCAAAATAAAAATAAAAATAAAAATAAACCATATACATTTATTTAAATTAAGATTATTTTTGAAGTGCTTTTTATAAATTAAACAAGAATGTATAGAAAATGTTAATAAATACCAAATCTTAAGAAAA